CTGCTAATGTTAGCAGAAATCTGCTTCTCTGCATTTTCCACCCATCTGTTCTAATCCCACCCTCTGGAGCAACAGGGAACACTTATACATGAGAACCCTTCAGATATTTGAAGACCACAGTCATGTACTCCATTAATCTTTTTGAGACTAAACATACATAACTCATATCACTTAGTTACCAGACCCCTCACCATGCTGATCTTCCTTCTTTGGAAGCACTGTAGTTAATAAGTGTCATTCTTTTAATGTGGTACCCCTGACTGGGCACAATACTCCAGATGCAACTAAGTCACATAGGACAGGATTCAGCTAACGAGTCCCATTAATGGAAGCCCTGCGCAAGGGCTTCCAGTTGTTCAATGGGGCTTCTCCTCCTCCCCAGCACCCCCAGAATTGGCTTGGGGGGATCAGGAGAACTACAATTGGGCTAAAATCATGGTTTAACTTTGCATGCAAACACAACCCTTAAGTGTAGCCGAAGCCTGCAGTCTGCTTTATCTCAACAAGTGAGTAAAATTCGCTTAGATAGCCAAGATTCCTTCTCCTTAGTGTGCAACAAAAGCAGACATAAGATTGATGCCTACCTTATTTTTTTTTGCACCTGTCTCCTATGGAGACGTAAATTAATTTACATTTAAATAGCTCATTCCTGGCAATTACTCTGGTCACAATTATTTTGTTTTTAGAAGTGGTTCTGTCCTGGAGTTCAGTTATTTATTTTTACTATTTATTACAGCATTTTTATACTATCAACAATAATTACTCTTTTTCACACTATGTACCCCCCCCAATATAAAATATAAAAAAACAATGTGAACATAAAATGAAAATTTAAGATTACGCCTTTATGGGAAAATTCAAATGGATATTTTAACGCTGGGCTTGCAAACAGCCACTTGCCTGGTAATCTGTGGTAAATAAGAATTGCCACCAGAATTGCTACATTAAGACTTTAGGTTGCTTACAGTGCAGCATGACTTTCCCACTCCCTATACAACCCCCAAAGCTTATCCCAGGTGTTGAGCTTATCCCCAGAAAATGGTTGGAATTGGAGGAGGGAAAAATTGGTATGAAGGCATTTTGCACAAGAAGCATTTATAATTTCCTATCTAACTGCTCTTGATTGATCTTGTCTTGCTTCTTAAATTTCTCCCATGGTTAGCAGTAGTGAGAACTTAAATGGTGGGGACCCTAACTCTTTTACTTGCCTGCTCCTTCTCTGATTTTTTGTGTGTATAGGAAGCATGCAGGAGAAGGAATGAGAGCAATATAGATCACCGTCTGCCTGTCAGGACACCTCTAGGCATACCAGATGAAGGTGGCTACAGAACAACACACACAGTACAGTTGTGTACCAGGGTGCAGGTTGGATCCAGACAGCTGCTGGCAGGGGGCGGGTTTCTCAGCTTTTGCCAACTCCTTCCAGTAGTAGCTCCCCATGCTGTTCCTTAGGGTTTACAAGCCCTCTGGATTGGCTTTTCAAGGGGGAGCAGGGAACTTCAGTGGAAAGGAGGAGGTGGGAAAGCCTCTAGTTTCTTAGGATCCATCTTGATATCAAGCTACGTTTAAGGTAAGCTTACGTTCCTGCTACTGTTTCTCATTCACAGTTTAGTATTAAATACTGGGCAAAGTTATTGCCCCAAGATAAAAGCATATTTGCTTTTTAGCATCCTAAAAATAATTTTGCTCTCTTTTAAATAACTAAGGAGCTTGCCTTTATCTTCGGAATGCTTTAATTAAAAATCAGGCATAAAATAATTAGCTGGTAGTTAATTCCACAGACTGTTTTGACTCTTTAATTATGAGGAAAGGCTGTGTTCTCCTGCATTTTGGTGGATGTGTGGGTGTTTTACTAGGGCAGGGCCTTATCAGCCATTGCACACAGGCTCTGGATCTCCCTCACCTCAGTGATACATCTGGCCTCTTCACTCCTGGCTTCTGTCTCCACACTGATAGCGCAATCCTATACATTTCTACTCAGAAGTAAGCTCCACTGAGTTCAATGGAACTTAGTCCCAGATAAGTGCAGCCAAAGACTGTTTTGAGGGCTTTGGGAATAGTTTACTTTCTGTTTGCTGCATTTGTTTCTGTGCTTGTTTTGCTCTCAGCTATTTGGGTTTATCAATCCTACCTACATGAGCTTTTTATACATATATCATTGAGATTGTGGCCACTTCTTTAAATGTTCTGTTTAGCAGAAAAGCATGTTGTAAATATTTTTAAATGAAAGTAATGCAAGTGGCATAATTCCAAGGGGCATTCAGGAATTATTTGTGTGATATCCAACTGAGTAATGCCCTGACTGCCATTGAATATCACCCTTTGCCATGAGTATTTTTTGAAAAGAAATTCTAATTGCTACTCTTGCACATTCCCTTAGGCCTGTAGGGTAAAGATTGCTGCTTAACCAGTACTGTACGGTGGAACTGGTATTACAACTTCCAAACAAGTAACTTTGCTGCTGTTATTTATGTGTTCTACGCTGTAAAGTGCCACAGATGTCTAAAGGCACCCCTTGTTTTCAGTCTGACCTGCTACACGCATGTGGGAAGGGTTTGGTTATTATTTAGCAAACAGCAAACCTTCCTCCGCCGAGATAGTCTGGTACAGATGGATGTGTCCCGTCCTGTCTCCCCCCACCCCCAGCACTCATTTTTATCCTTGCACCAGCCTTGATAGTTGGTTGGTTATGCTGAGAATGAGTGGCAGCCAAGGTGAGCTTCAGGACTGAGGGGGGATCTGAACCCGAGTCTTTCGGGTTCAAGCCTGGCACTGCCCATAATGCCACACTGGCTCTAGTTGTAGAATCTTATAAGGGCACTGCTGCAGCTACAAAAGATGACCAACCCTTGGGTCTCTGCGGCTGAATGATAAATTTTAGGAGCAAATTAAAAACCATTAATTCCCAGTCTGCTGCATTAGAATTTAATGCAAGCTTTTATATGAAAGGGAATTTTGAAATATTTTTCAGGGCGGGGAGGGGAATGTTAAACACACAATCCTTCATATAAATTTTAAGGTGCCAATATATGAAAGGTCTCTGTCACATAATTTGCATGCTTAAATCAACTGTATACATCAAGTTTTACTTTAAAGACTCCTTCAGCCTTTCCTGACCCATAACTTCCAGTTAGCGCAATATGTTTGTTGGTGCTGATGGGAGTTGTAGCTCAAAAGATCTGAGGGGGCAATAGGTTGGGGAAACTCTGCTACTTTTTTCCCTAGGAGGATCAAAAGCAATATTTTTGGATCCTCCAAACGTGAAAATGAGAGTTCACAAAAGCCTCTCCTTGTTCAAACACTCCATTTGGAAATGGGAGGAAAAAACAACCAATGAGCTAGAGCTATATGAAGGTAAACTCAGGCTAGTTTTGTAACCACTTACACTCTTGGTGTGAGCTGTTTTCACAATTGCCTCCTTTAGAGTAAGATCAAACATTGGTAAGATGGGGTTCAGGGGACCTTCATTAACATCCTGGTTATTAAGCAACATTTTACTTAATTTGTTCTTAAATTACATGTTCATGTTGCAACAGTGACTTAGAATTAGAATGGTCATAGCAAGATCTTTTATCTGATCATATTGAAGAACGTCAAAAGAAGCCTTGTATCATCCTCAGAGATCTGCTGAGTGCTCTTCTGTTGAGATTTGGACAGGGTCAATGCATGACGGCCTTTTCGGCCATGCCCCTTCACTGCCTGTGGATCATTCTCCCCAAGGGAGCTTCTTCTCCTGCTCCACCCCTTGAAGTCTCCCTGGTGCCAGAGAGAAACCTTTCTTTTCTCATAAGTCTTTTAATTGTTTTCAACATTAAAAAAATCTTAGCATCTTTTTCAGCCAGTGTTTTAATTTTGCTTATTGGAATTATATAACCTAAGAGCGATTTGTGTGTGTGTGTGTGTGTGTGTGTGAGAATGAGAGAGAGAGAGAGAGAGAGAGAGCGCGTGCGCTTGTGGTGGGATTGTGTTGCTAGCTGTAGTTTGATCATGATGTTCTATACGGTTAATCTGTTTTAAACTGTACATTGCCTAGAGGCATACGTAATACTGTACTTGTAATAATATATTTATTCCACACACTGCAGTGCAGCATATGGGCAGTGCTTTGTAAGTCAAAACTTATAATGAAAACTACAAGTAGTACTATGGAAATAACTTTCTCTGAGTTTATTTTATATTCCATATTCAGTTCCACTTATCAGTAATACAAATGACAAATCCAGTACATTAAGAACTATTTTGTTAGGTAGCTTGTTCTCCTAGTCAGATATAAGAGCATGTGTCCGAGAGAGAGAGGTACCCTTGAGGTTTAGCTGCCTTTATCAGGGCCAAACCTTTAGTGTGTGTGCCCCTGCCCTGTGGCACTCCTAGCTTATATTTTATTATCTATTTATTAAATTTCTATACCACCATACATCTGTGAATCACAGGGCAGTTTACAATAGAAAAACACAAACATACATAACATAATGACAAATAAAAACAATTCTTCCCCCAGTATTTATTTTATTATAGTAGTTTGGCAGGAGCATTCCTTGCACATTTTTAGACACCTTCTAAAAACTTTTATTCAGACAGGCCTTTCAGATCTGAGATTCTTTGCCAATCAGTTCTCAGTGATACGTTTCACATTTTTATTTTAATACTGTGTTTTTAGTCTGTATATTGCCCTGTGATATTTTATATGAAAATGTGGTTTATAACTATTTCAATAAACTGCAAGGGGTTGGACTAGATGACCCTTGAGTCCCTTCCAACTCTATAGTTCTATGAAATAAAATCTTGTTGTTTGTTCAGTTTTATACCTTTCATTCATACTGGTTGCTGTAAGCAGCTTGTGCATTACTGTATTCCCAGTTCAGGATGAGATTTTAATTTACTGAGCTTCGCATTCTTCCAGATACCTAGTCAAACAATAATTGCATTCATCTGGAACAATATCTTGCTATATATACCCATTACATGTTTTTCAGATGTTAATGGCTCTTTCTTTTTTCTAGATATGAGACATGAGTGTTGGACGCAGAAGATTAAAGTTGCTGGGAATTCTAATGATGGTCAACTTCTTTATATATGTGATTGTGGAGGTGTCAAAGAGCAGTGGCCAAGCAAAGAATTCAAAAAGGCACGTTATAATACCACAGGCCAAATTCTGGAGAAAATTTGTTCCTCACAAGGCATATTGGAATAAACAGCAGCAGAAGCTGGAACGCTTATCCAATCCGATTTTTGCATTGCTTACAAATATGACAGTGGAAGAAAGCTTATCTTCTAATGGCAGCTTTTCAAATGCGTGTGATCCTGACCCATTTGTAGCTCTACAAATTAATGGCTTTAAAGACTTGCCAGATAGATTTAAAGACTTCTTGCATTACTTGCGATGTAGAAACTATTCATTATTAGTGGACCAACCACACAAGTGCAAACATAAACCTTTTCTGCTTCTGGCTATCAAATCACTTATTCCCCATTTTGACAGAAGACAAGCAATCCGACAGTCTTGGGGAAAAGAAATTAAATCGGGAGATGCAACTGTTGTGAGGGTCTTCCTGTTAGGCCAGAACTCTCCGGAGGATAACTTTCCTGATCTCTCAGATATGTTGAAATTTGAGAGTGAAAGCCACCAAGATATTCTTTTATGGGACTACAAAGATACTTTCTTCAATTTGACCCTGAAAGAGGTACTGTTTCTGAAATGGGTGAGCAATACCTGCCCAGATGCCCAGTTTATTTTTAAGGGAGATGATGATGTTTTTGTGAACACGCATCAGATCCTGGATTACTTGAAGAGTTTAACCAAGGATAAAGCCAAAGACTTGTTTATAGGTGATGTGATCAAAGATGCTGGACCTCATCGTGACAAGACACTGAAGTACTATATCCCAGAAAGTATTTATGAAGGCTCTTACCCTCCATATGCAGGAGGTGGTGGGTTTCTCTATTCTGGTGATCTTGCATTAAGATTAGCCAATGCATCTGACCAAGTCCTACTCTATCCCATTGATGATGTCTATACTGGAATGTGCCTTCAGAAACTTGGGCTTGCTCCCGAAAAACATAAAGGCTTCAAGACTTTTGGCATTGAAGAGAAACACAGGGATAATATTTGTTCCTACACAAATCTAATGCTGGTCCACAGCAGGCAACCCCAAGAAATTATTAAGATTTGGACGAACTTGCAAGATCCAGATTTAAGTTGTTGAGTACATATATGTCCAAAAGTTCTCTCCAAATTTGGGTTTAATTTCTTGGCTAAATGGTTAGTACTTTGAATAGTTTGTTTTGCAAAGCAAAACTCGCTATAAATGGTTTGTCCAGAACTTCTAAAAGAACAATTACATCAGTAACAATGCACATCATGAGGATATGGCATGTAGATGCAATCCTTTATCTTTCCACTGTCGCACGTTCAATACTTTGACCGAATAAAAACCTGAAAAAGCATACCCTTCAGAAGTTGTGATTAAACTATTAATTTAATGACCATTTAGCTCAAATATTAGAAGACCTTTCCTGTTTTCTAATTATAATAATTATTTAATTGTGGTGATAGAAGCTATACACTGATTTGTTTTCCTGAGATAAGATATCTCAGAGACTGTTTTGGAACTCAAATTCAGGAAAGTAACTTCAAAATAAATAAACTTGGGTGGAGTGTTCAGCTCTCATACTCTGAGTACTCCTATTGGAATTAAGTTACAAGTAATTTAAGTTTATGGATTTAAATGGACCTACTCCTGAGTAAAATGCAACTCATGCCACCAAACAGTTGGTTTTTATGGCTTTCCTTTTCCACTGTCTCGTTATATCCTCCCACTGAACAGTATTCAGTTAAATGTTATGGAGATCTGTGTAATGTGTATGTAACTGTGTTTAAAATATCAGATGATACATATCTATGGCTGAGAAGCTGTATAGTTTAAAGTGTATTTTGGGAGGTTAAGTGTTGCTTTGCATCAGACTTAGCTAATGGTCAAGCATTTTACACTTTTTCTTAAACTGGTATCAGACCTACACAGTCTCTTTATTTCCACAGTAGGCTTAACATTTGCTCTGTTGTCTTTTATGTTGTTAAAAAAAATCAGGCAACTTCACTGATAAAATTAACTGATATGTGAATTGTTAATTGGCTTACAAAAACTGGGCCTTCCTTATGGTCTAGGGTTAGAACTTTATGAAAATGTGCAATTTCTGAGATTCCAAATCACTCAAATGACCCCTATAATTATTAAGGGTATCTCAAAGTCACAGGTCCTAAAACACTCTATCTGCCATATCTTCATCTGTGTTATATCAGACAATTATTCAAAACAATGACTGCTTTCTTTATATACGTAGAAGTGCCTGTATTTATTGTTCAGATGGAAGACCAAAACATTTTCTTAAATATATTTAAGAAACATTTGTATAGTGTTGTCAGTCATATTTAAATAGAGTAAACTATTTTAAATGTGTTGAAATATAAAAAGTTAAATAAAGTTAATTGTTTTTGAATTTCAAAAAGTACATGTGTGTACATCCCAATTTGTATAGACAAGTCTAAATAATTCACACTATAATGATCACCATCAGTATGTCAACTTTAATTTACTTGAGAGCTCTTATGGCCTGGGTCTGTGGTTTGTTGCCCCACAAGATGGGGCCATGTTCTTGTCCATCACACTGGTGCAATTTCTACCATTGCACTGCTTGCTAGGAGCAAATTATAACCAGTCAACAAGGAGAGACATTTTGCGCTGGAAAAGCCCCTCTGTTTCTGTGGGTGCAGCCAAGTTGTCCAAGTTCATTTCCATTTCCATGTTGTAGGGGAGGCTTAGTGGTATTATGAGGTAACAATTCAGTGGCAGAGAGACTGAGAAAGAGATCTACAGGCAGCAGCCTTGGTAGTATATATATAATGCTCATCTTGATGATAATCCAAAACTTAGAGCAGTGGCATTCTTCCACATTGTTTTGAGATAGGCTCCAGTCTCCTCAGAGGGGTTTCTATCTTTTTGATGTTTAGAGTTGAAGGGAAATCTGTTCATTCTTAAAAATATTCTATCCTGTTATAGTTGTATGCTTACGTTAAGAAAGAAAATTGCTGAGGGAGGAATTCATCATGGCAGTCATTAGCACAAGCTTTTCAGCTTGCAAGAGGAAACCATCTTCTTCCCCGCATGCATTTCTGGAGGTTGTTCTTATACCCCACAGCCAATTTGGGGTGGGGGTGGAGGAGAGGAAGGGGGAAGCCCCATTGCAGTAGCAGCACTCATTAGTGTATTCCCCTACTCTAAGGCCACTGTTCTGTTCCCCCTTACATGGAACAAGCACCGTTGAACTCAAAGGGGCTTATTCCTGAGTAGACATGTAGAGGACTGGACTTTAAGGCCCGTATCCTGTGAACATTTGCCTGTGGATAAGCCCCAAAGAATACATTGCAACACACTTCTGAGAAAACACACAGTAAGCTTGTTCACCTTAGTCCTTGTCGCTCACCTCGTTTCCCCCCATTTTTCTGTATTCTGTTTTGTTGCTTTACTCCACGTTTACTGCACCACAAAGTTCATATTGTCTGCAATCTCCACATTTTATCAAGAGATAAAAATAAGTTTTTTAATTCTATTTTTGTAAATAAAATAAAATGTCTTTGAATTTGAAAAGTGTGTTGCTCTAAGATTTGATTAGAAACTTGTTTGCAGTATTTTAATACTTTGACTTTACAGCAGATTGGTTCTATCTGGTATGTTCTTTTGTATGCAAAAGGAGGAACGTATTCCACTTTATGTTGGTAGTAGCACTTTGGCTCCACTGAAATAGGTGGGTCAAGTTACTTTTGACTTCAGTCTCATTGATTTCACTAGACACTATCCAGAAATAAAACTAAAAACAACACCTGGCCATTGAGTAAACTCCATGTATGCTGCTCTGAGCTTCTTAGAGAGGAAAGATACAATATCATATGATAATAAAATAAATAAATGGTAAAGCCCTTAACAGTAAGTTCCCAATAACTTAATGAATGTAATGAAATTCAGACAATTTAGACTGTTGCCTAAGGCTGTACTGTAACTCCTAATAGGGAACAGGTGCTGTAAACTTAGGAACAGTCCAAGCTGTGCTGTACATCTTAAAAAGCAAGTTAATGAGAAATACACAACAGTCCCATTTCAAAATTACATGTGCAGCCCAAATTCATGTTTATTCAGAAGTCTTTCTAGTTCAGTGGCACACACTCCCTTTCCCTTCATCATGGGGTTCCAGACCTGTTCACGAGGGCAGCACGAGTAGCTTAGAAGCATTACAGTAGAAATTGATGATGGATGCAGCACAAAGACTCTTAAGAATCTGAAAGCATATGCTGCCAACTTGTACCTGTTAAAGTGGTCAACTAGAGCTCTAGTTGTAGTAGTTTATTGCAGCAAAAGCAAGAGTCTTGTGGTATCTTAGAATGTTTGGCATAATCTTTCCCTGGAAAAAGGAACCCCAACTGGAAGAGTACACCACTTCCAGACGCACTATAATCCCTGTACAATACTTGGATAAGGCAGCACAAATGTTACAAAAATCAATTTAACCCACAGCTCTAAAGTTCTTAAAATTTAACCAACTATTTTAAACTGCTTTGAATAGATAAGCTGAACTGAAAATGACGCTGAGAAGTTAAGAAAAGGACAGCAGAAAAATGATGAGTATCTGAAACAGCGTCACCTTAATTTGTTTTGACTGAGTATACACCTTGTTAATATCCTTCAATAATTTTAAAAGAAACGGTTGCACTATTGAGAGTAAACCTTTGCTGTTACGATAATAAAAATATAAATCCTATAATATATGGATCAAATAACAGTAGTCTTAATAAAGACATATGAAACCTCCATAAACCATGAATCAAAATAGTTTATTGGGCAGACCGAGCCTTGGGCAATCATTTATCCCCTTTCTTGGCTTTGAGAAGATACTGTGGGACTGGTTCTCAAAGGGTGTGACTGACGTGCCACACTGGCAAGATCTGGCAAGATTCAAGGACAATCAAAGAAACATTGAAACATTTCAGATAATATTATATATATATATGCAGAATATGGATAGATATCTTTTCAAAATAAGAACAAGAGCACCTAGTGATATTTAGGACATATTGTTGTGAACAAGGATTTTCAACTGACAAATATGATAGCTCAGAAAAGAGAAAGGTTTCTTTTTGTTGATTAGGAGATGATTTCTTTGTCTCAGATTAGACCTAATATAAATGAGATTATCCAACAAAAGCAAGTTCACACCTCTCAATGTGTTTGTACACATATTAAGGTTCAAATATAAGAGACTTGTTTATATTTTGGGAATGATTCATGTTCTTATGTAGTTGCATTATTTTATACTTTCTGGATGTTCCATGATCCTATTATAAAGTAATTGTGTTCTGTATTATGAATCAAGCACAGCTAGGAGTTGTTTCTTTTTTGTTTTTCAGTGTATTCCTTACCAATAAAAATTGGGTGTGGTGCGAGTTTATTTTGAAAGTATGGCCCAGATAATTTTCTTTTGATAACTGCTGTACTGTGGTTTGTTAAACCCAATCCTGGTTTGTAAGCAGTACTTAGTTTGGACATCATGGAAAGCCATGGATTAACAAACCACAGCATCTTCAGCAGCTGTGTCTTTATATATTATTGTATGATTGTGCTATAACGCGATCAAATAGCATTGTAATTCTCTGACAACAATAGTTATGACTTCAGTTCTGTTTGTTGTTAATATCTGTGATTAGGTTTCTAAAATAAGTTAATCTTTCATTGTAGTCTTTTCTCTCCAACATGTTTCTTGAGCAGAATATGTTAAGCATTCTCCACTTTAGAACAGCAGTTTTAATATGGAGATAATGTTAGATTAGGCTGTGTAAATAAATACTGGAGTGGAGAGTGGGAGACAGAGTGTGAGCTTTTCAGATTTGAGTGCCTTCAACTTGACCTGGCACAGCAGGACTGGATAAAACGCTTCTTTCTTCTTTCGTCTTGTTTTGAGCAAGGCCTGCCTGGGTTGCTCGGACAATATTCAAAAACATGCTTCTTGTCTGAAAAGGTTCCACAGGGATCAATTAGACAATGGTAATAGCTAGCAAAGCACTACTTAGGTACGTACATAAATGATAAACAAATCCATATTTTAAAGTAGTTCCTTCTCTTACGGAAAAAAAATTTGCATGAAATAATTTCATGTTCACAAAGGCCCTTTTCAAAATGTGAATGCACATCCAGCTTTTCCACATACTTAACTGTGGAGTGTTTTGTTTTTTAGGGTATATATCGGCAGGCAATGTACTTCAGGTTCTAAAGTGAAACTCACATTACAATGCAAGGTTTAAAATACTTGAGAAATTTAAACAAATACCAGAAAGACGTGTGCCTGTTTGAAATGCTCCTACAATGGATGTTGAATGCTCCTACAATTGCACGCTCTCGTGTTTTTGTGGAGAAGTGTGCAGTTTAAGAAATGCAGGGAGATCATTCTCCTCTGCTGTGCACCAGGCTGTATGTCTGATTTATCATTCTTTAGGTCTATTCTTTCTTAGCATAAGCAAAAGTGAGTCTGTGAACTAGGAACACATGAGAAAGGCACAGGGTGCGAAGAATAGCGCCTGTTCTAACCTGGTGCTGATCATATTCTTTTAGGGTCATACTAGATGTGAGGTTAACTGCATATTTTAGTGCAAATAGTATTCACAGGGAAGCCTGAGCTACTTTTTTAAATACTGTTTTTATTTATTTTCATGGTACAGAAAATTTTTGAGAAAACAACTAGTAACTTGTCCTGATAAAATTACAGACATTTATCATGCCAGGTGTTAAGGTGTCATTTGATTGCTCTAAGAGATCACGCCACATTTTCCCATGAGTGCTGGGTGGATTCCTGCCACAGCCTGAACGATTTATGTATTCAATAAACATTTGCCATATGTTATACAAGGAATATGGATTGTGTTTGCCCTTTACCACAAGCCTGAGCAACTTGGAGGGGAGGGGATTCATGAAATCTTAGAGGTGGAAGGGACCCAAGGGTCGTCTAGTCCAACCCCCTGCAATGCAGGGATTGAATTGATGGTTTCCCCTCTGAGACATGGTTGCTTTTTATAATGTGTTGTTCTTTTTTGCCGTTTGCATTTTTCAGGAAGCAAAGATGGTGGCTGTGAAGGCTTCCCATGAAATGCAAATAGCTGCTTCAGAAAGACAATTTGTTTGTAAGATTGCAGCTAAACGCTTTCCCCTTTCCACTCCCAGGACCCTCCCTGCAGTGGCCACTTGCATAACCACTGCAACAATAATTATCACATAGTCTTTGGTCCTTAGACAACTGGAATAATAGAATTTTCCTAAGAACCATGCCTCCAGATGTTGCTGGACTATAGCTCCTCTCCTGCCTGCCTATTGGCCGTTCCTGGTGAGGGGAAGCTAAGAACATCTGAAGATCATCATGTGGGTTGCCACTGGCATGGAAAGTTCAGTAAGAAGCTAAGCTTGAAGCACAATTAAAAGTCATCCTGTCTCTTTGTGTGCAGAATTCACTGGAACTAGAGGTATACTGAATATATATATCTCAGGATTTAAGAGGCAGAAGGAAAAGAAAATTACGTCAAGGATAACACTTCTTTATCAAGCTCTGATTGGTCCCAAGTGATTAAATTACAGCTCGCTTACATGAGACCAAGGGAGCTGTGTTATTTTTCAACACAGTTACTTTAATTTTCTTCACTCATAGGAGAGGAGCGAGGCTGGTGGTATCCTTGGGAATCCTGAGCCATGTTTCCATGGAAAAAGAGGTTTATTGAAATGGAAACACAAGAGTTCTTTGAAAGAGTGGTGGACAAGAGATTCTCATGAATTATAATTTTATGTGAACCGCCCAGAGATCTGCAGATAAAGGGCAGTACACAAATTTTAATAATAATAATGTTCAAATGTCACGTCTCCTTAAAAAGTCTTTAAAAGTATGAATTGGGTACCTTTCAGTTGTACTTGCATAAACATAACTTGTAGTCCATCATTTTCACAAAATAAATGCAGGTGGAAAACAATCTTAGTTTTGCTTCCTGAGTAAGAAACTAATAAGAAATTAAATACATACATTTTCTTTACAAGTGCTTTTATTCTGCAGTACTATAGCAAAAGTGCATCTCCAGCATTCAAAAGTAATAAAAGGATATTCCTTCCCTAAGTGGTGTGGTCATTTAAGAGAGTTGCATCATTCTGAATTAATCTCATAATATATAATATGCTTTGAGTATCTGTATCACGTCACACAACCACTTTTTGTGCTACAATCATGATGGCAATAAATGCACTGCTGTGACTTGAGACATGAAGGATGTTTACAACATGAAACAAAACACCACCCTGTAATAATGGAGGAGGGGAATAATTTGGTATGCAAAAAGGTATCTGCAAAGCAACTAAGCCACATTTAATAACCTTTAGTGGGAGTTAGGGTGCTTAAGAGAAGACATAAATTTGGCTTAAAAGTATAATAAATCAGAAATTCTCCAACCAAGCGGCTTTGAAAGAGGGGGAAAAAATCAGTTATTTGATTAAACATTCAGACTTTCTGTATGTATGATTCTGCCTGAGATAAAATTGAAAGAATTCCATATGACATGGAAATGCCTTCTACTTGGCAACTTTGCTGGAAAATGCAGTGCTGGCTGTGAGTGAAAGAAAACCAAAATTGGTAAAACAGCATCTCAGTCTAGCTTTTGATTAACCTGCTTTTTAACTTCTTATTAACACAGTTCTGCTATCGGCTCATATCACATTGTGCTCCCCCCCACTTCCTCCATGCTCTTCTTGGCCCAGCCAATTCCCATTCTCCTCCAACTAACCTTCAGTTGTTTTAACACATAACATTTTGCCTTACATGGTTTTGGAGGTGAAACGTGTACACCTTCTGCCTCAAAACTGCACAACTGTTTTGTACTTCCACGCATATGCAGCAGAATACTATGGCATGACTTTAATATGCCTTTAATACACAGGTCTGTGTGCATGATTGAGGGTATTGTGTGAAGCAGCTGTTAGATTTGACAGAAGAGTTTTCCTGTTGCTGAACTGGAGACTAGATAGGTAGAATACAACTCGTGGCCCGCTCCTAATCCTTGTGTTCCTAATTTGCAGCCTTCCACTGATTTGGAATAAAAGTGAAAAAGTTAACATCAGCAGAAATCTAACATCAGCACAGAGGCAAAACTGCCTTTTTATAGTATCCCTAAGGCTGAAATCCAGCACACTTCATTTATACTAGTATCTGCCTCTCCAAAAAGTTTCTTCACATCGGACTTCTTCCCCGGCTTCCTTATCTCTCCCCAAATGCTGCGCTGCTGATTCAACAAGGCCATGTACAGGTTTATCTGTCTCTAGTCTAATTAACCAAGTGGGGTGTGACTCAATGACTGCTCACAGTTCTGTATGGATAGCACTGAATACATCTTTGGGATATTTTAGCAGGGTTGTGTTGCATCATGCCATTCTGTGTTGCTCACTGAACAATACCGCTGCAGGAAGCAAATCATAACCCTTTGACTTAGGTATCCAACACTTCTTAATCCACTTTGCATGTCTGTAAACAGCTGACTGAGGGACGCGGGTGGTGCTGTGTGGTCTAAACCACAGAGCCTAGGGCTTGCTTGATCAGAAGGTCAGCGGTTCGAATCCCCGTGACGGAGTGAGCTCCATTGCTCGGTCCCTGCTCCTGCCCACCTAGCAGTTTGAAAGCACGTCAAAGTGCAAGTAGATAAATAGGTACCACTCTGGCGGGAAGGTAAATGACATTTGTGTGCACTGCTCTGGTTCACCACAAGCGGCTTAGTCATGCTGGCCACATGACCCAGAAGCTGTCTGCGGACAAACGCCGGGTCCCTTGGCCTATAGAGCGAGATGAGTGTGCAACCCCCCAAGTTGTCTGCGACTGGACCTAACGTCAGTGACAAAAGCACAAAATAGAACCACTAAGGAAAGAATTCTGTAGAAGTTTCTTGTTGAAAGAGTTCTGTAGAAATAGTGCAATGGTTGCCAGACAGGAAAGAGCTGAGGAGGAAGCTTTCTTCGCCTGTTAGGAAAGCTCTACAGAACTGTGGAGGTTTGGCTCAGCCCTGCCAAGCAGGGGAAAGTTGAGTTGCAAGAGTGTGGGAGGTGAGTTACAAGGTGGCAAAACTGGTGCACAGTGCATAAGATGACCCAGTTTATTGGTGTAATGGGCATTGGTCCAGTGGAACAACACTTGCAAATATCCACATGCTTTTAGTATGAGCAAGTGAGTGCAACGTATGTGATTCATTTGGTGGTATCCATAACTCCCTGTCCTCATCATGACTAAACACTGAAAAGAGATTCTGATAACAGCAACAATTTCTGTTTGTATTTCTCATTATTTGCTGCTGAGCACTGGACCCTTTTGTGCTCTGCTACCTGGCAAACTCACCTGGCAGGAAATTTCTTTTGTAAAGCCAATTCATTTGAGTTCTAAAGCATGAAAT